AATAACTTTTAGCGTGGGGTAATTTGAACATAGTGTGGGAATTTCAATGAAGACAGGGATAGCTCCGAAAAAAACAACGCTCCCAGTTTTTTTTTTGCCAATATTTTCGACCCAAAGCAGTAACAGATAAGTGATGCCAGTTTTATAAAAATTTACGTCTAATATCCGTCTAATGTCCGGCATTTTTGTTGATTTCCGTTCAAAAATGTTAAAGTCAGCTATTTGTCCAAATATGTCCGAAAATTACACATTAATAAACACTCAAAACTGTCATTTAAATTGCTTATAATGTACTTTCACCAGCCGAAAAGTGTTCATTATATTGAGAGCTTAACAAGCTTTCCATTCGCCAATCAATGCTATGCACGATTACTTCATAAAAAGCGCTCAAGTGTAGCAAGCCATCGTCCAATGTTGTCCAGTCTGCTACCTTTGTCCTACCAATTCCGAATTGGAAATTGGACAAAATCAGAACTCCAAATGTCCAGGTTTCGATTGGCACCACTATAACAGATGCAGTAAGGATGGGAGAGTTTTTATCGAACAAAAATGATAGACGTTCTGTTAATTGAAGACAGGCGAATTCTGTCAACTGACCGGTGTGCAGCGTGCAGATATTGATACTCTGTAACTGTCATTTTGTTGTTGTGTTGATTTTTCAAGTGAAGGTATGTTTAGAATTGTTCTGCCTATTTGCTTATGGGTCAAACAACATCGGCGTTGGCGAGACTATCGTTTTTATGACAGCTAAAGGCAGTATGTTCAAATTACCCTACGGTGGAGCCATTTGAACACACCGTGACTTGGTGGAAAAGTGAGGCTATGGTTTTCAAGGCATGCTCAGCTCGTCCAAAAGTGAGGCTTGCATGGTGAAAGCAAGTGACACTTGCGCTACTGAAGCAGTTTTTCTTCATCCAGGGTTAAGCTGGAATTTGGGACAACGGAGAAGACGTAAAAATATGTTTAAATTACCCCACACTACCCTATATCGCGCACACTCTTCTCGCTATGTTATCTCCTCGTTCACTTCTCTCGCCAACGTGCTGGCTGATGGGAACAGAGCCTAGGGGATTAGCGAATTGGCAGTCGGCTGTCCGCACTAATTACTATGCCCCCTGAATACGGAGCTGTGTAATTATGACATGGCCTCGACCTCGACTTGGTTAATCCTTCCGAATCCACCGGTTCAGTACTAATGTTCGACCTTTGCTACGTGGTTAGCGAGGCTTAGCCAACGAGTGCATTCAGCTGGAGGTGATATTCGCTTATGCAGCCGCTCTGGGGCCCACAATAGACCTAAAATAGTGTCAAAATTTGACACGGCTTCTTTGACGTATGGGATTGGCTCGTAAGCTGGCAGTTTTTGCAGTCTGCGGATCAACATTTGTCGTTGGGATTTCCCGGTCGAGAGCCATCCACTTGGGGCAAAAATCGCTGAAAGTTCGAGACGACGCCAAGAAGATGGTTTATGATGGTCGGGTTAACGGTACAAATGGCAGAAATGTCGTATAACTAACTAATATATTTTTATCAGTTGTGTCAAAGAAATGTTACAGTTTTGCGTAAGGAATTGCAGAAGTTGCAATGTTTTCAGAAATAGCTTCCAATCCTGATAGGTTCAAATCTCGCCTGATTTTCTATTGTTTTGCTAAGTAGGACTATCCTAGCAGAAACAATTATGGCTCTACTCATCTCACTCATCAAACCCCTACTCTTTCCCCGTCATCTTCCTACAATCAGAACTCGCCGACCGGCCCGTCGTCCGGCCGAGACACGGCTGGTCGTATAGCGTTGTGCTGTTTCTGTCACTCCCACCCGAACATAATTGATCGCGGCGCTCGTCGGGCACGAGCTCGCGGCTCGCCGAGCCACTAGCGGCGCGGCGGAGACGGTTCCGGCGCGGCCGCTTTGGTGCGCGCCGCCGGCCGGAAGAGGTAGACTCAGTGTGTCGCTCCCAGGACAGTCACATACCGTCAGAAAGACACCGTCGGAGGCGGCGGCGGGGAGAGGGGCAGAGATAAGCGGTGATGTGTGGAGAGAGGCGGGAGGACAGAGCGGGTTGATGGACCGGCAGTCGTCTCCGGGTACAGCGGGCCGCGGCGGCGGAACCAGCCACGCAGAAGTGATGGCAGGCGCCGGCAGTGACTGTTCTGACGGCACAGACGGAGCCACTGACAGCGACACAGAGCTACAGACAGCGGAAACCAGCCGCCCGGACGGCCGCGCCGAGCTGTACCGAAAAATACTGCAACTCCGAGATCGCATAAATCTTTTGATGCTGTTTGGCGTCCAAGTTTGTTCGCTATTGCTTGTGTTTATTGCGAGAATATCTAGTGGAAGCATTGTCAACAGCGCCTGAACTACGCCGCAACACGCCGCTCGAATATGAATATTGATTATCATCTTCGCTCTAGTTGCTAATTTATCCTTTCAGTTCTGATCTGAGTGCTTTCCTATCAGAGCGCAATAACCTAGTCCTCTTCGACCACCGAAGGCCGACGTCTCAGACCCTGCCGACATCTCTCCGACCCTGCACTGCAGCGCGGTTACGTACGGCTGACACCGTGCCGAGCTGCTGATTGGTCGGAGCAGTTCGGGGCTGGTGCGACCAGCCGGGTGTGGAAGAGAGCCGAGTGAAAGGTGCGGAAATGGAGGTTTATGGGACATCGATGGTTGCCAATGAGCAGTAGACGGCGGGCGTTAGATGGTGGTGTGCGGTAGACGGTAGACGGTGGACGGTGGATAGTGGCCTGGTGGACGGTGGACGGTGGACGGTGGACAGTGGGTGGTGGACGCCTGGCGATAAGCAACTAAGAAAGCCTGTACTTTATTCGGCAAAGCCACTGGAACTGCATGAAGATTGAGTAGGAGCTAAAGTGTAGGAGCCGCGTCTTTCAATTGCCAACTGGGTCTGCTGATGAGAAGCTAAGTGAGCAGAAGACATTTCCATTGATTGTCGCTGATTTGGCAGCAGCTCATCAACTCCCGTGCAGTGATCAATACCTGCGGGAGCTGCGCATCTCCCTCCTTCCACTGAGCCGGCCTCCGCAGTGATTAACCTAATGGAGGTCTCGACGCTATACTGTCATTTGGAAACGAGTGAGCTGCTCGTAAACAATAAAGCAAGGAACAGGCATCGCTTCTGACATTGGCCAGAGGGCATGATTTTAAATAGGCATTAATCAAAATAAACAGTACCAGCCTGGTTTATTATCGATGTATGTATGCCTCATAAGATATATTGTTAAGAGATAATGATATTTTTGTTGTCATGGCAACCTTCTCATGACAATCAATTTTACCGCAACTCTGAGGAACTAGTCCTCAAATAACGTTCATGAAATTAAGGGACTCTTGTCACATGTGTTGCACTGCCCTTTCCTTGGCCCAATGTCGCTAACATGCTTAGATTCAATTCTTAGAGCCCGCTCTTTAGCGGCTAGCCGAATTACATTGAATAAATGTCACGTTTGTTTAATACTAAACACATGAGCCGTACCACACTATCAAGCAGTTTAGCCTCTCAAACCTGTTAATGTTCAGAAGACACGCACACCCTGGAAAAGAATGTAATAAAGCCGCTGGAATCTGGTGTAACGGCGGACGTCTGCCCTCTGTTTTAGTGGTTTGTTGCCACGCGAGGTGGCAAAATGAGACCTCATTATTACACCCGTCAGTCTGGATGGCCTATCATGGGGCTTAATTGGCGTGGACTGTGGTTTAACAAGGATTGTAAGCATAGGTTAAATTATTGAACTTTAATCACCTTTCAGGAGGATCGGGTCGGGAGTATGCAATGAAACTGGTGTGGTTAGGCCAAAACCTGCATCCTGCCGTATTATATTGGATTAACATTGAAAAATTTAGGTATGGTGCAGCCTGCTAAACCGATATTTTGTAAGTGGATGATCATCATTCATTTGTGCTACATTGATCGGTAGCCAGACAGTTGCAAATCTTTATACGAGCATTGCCGTACACTTCTTCCCAGAACCAGATTGTGGTGCTTACTAGAACAGATCGCTTTGTATGATCGCTTTGTTCGCCACGGGAGTATGGCGTGCATTGCGGCACAGTTTAACTTCAGGCGCATACCACTAGCGACATCTATATGGAAGTGTTGGAAACTGAGGCCCAGCACTCCATCATCGCTGGCAACTAACGAATCTTGGCGCGATGCAGCGTTTGAAATGCGCTCGTACAGAATACGACCCGTTTCATTAAGATTTTGTGATAATTTCTTCAGCTTGGAAAAGATAACAATGACCTAAATATAGGAAAATAGGAGCATAGAAGATGAAAAATGGAACATATTCTTGTGGTTAGGCGAAGATTAGAAGGTTGGGCTGTTTGGGAAGAGTGGGTGATGAAATCGGATGCGGTTGGTTAAGCTCACTTCTAAGTTTTTCTGTGTTTTAACCGCTGTCCACTGATGCATAAAAGATTATAAAAATATATGTCTAGTTAGTTATTTATGAGTGCCTACCAGCCTACAATATGACATACCAGTGTTCCATGAGAATAGCCTGAGCGCGCTTATATCAGGCCGGGCGCATGGCTGAGGAATTTCCTCGGGGGCTGCCTCTCGCTCGGATGAGTTGTTTGAAGTTGATGCGGCGCCGGCGGCGTCTAATGGTGACAGATTGAGAGCGAATGGGCCACCGGGGACCGGCCGGATCGCCGATGGTACCGCCGGGAGCCGGCTGCTCTCTGGTGACGTCACTGGCGCTGTGTGATGACGTCACTGGGTCTGACGGTCAGCAGCCAGTGCGCAATGGCAGTCTGACCTTACCTGACGTCAGAGCGAGCGACGTAAATCACCTCCTCCGCTGCAGCTCTAAATAGCACGTACGTCGAGGTAATCTCAGTTCAGCCTGCCTAAATTCAAGGATTGATTCTCTGCAACCGCAAAATAGCTACCGGCAAACCTGAGCATTGCCACAGCCTGGCTTCGTCTGACCTGACCTCGTCTTACCTGACCTCGTTTGACCTGTCCGCAGGGAACCCGCTGCACTGCAGCTGCGAGCTGCGGGAGATGTGGGCCTGGCTGCAGGAGCACTCCCACCTGCTGTCCACTCGGAACGTGACCTGCGGCTCGCCGGAGAACCTGCGGGGCCAGCCGCTGGTCGACCGCTCGTCGGCCTTCTTCTGCCCCTTCCCACTGGTGCAGAAAATCGCCATTCAGGTTCGAATGCATTGTGCTCAGGCCTCAGAGCGCTATTTTGTTTGTGGTTTTGTGTTTGTTAGGTTGGTGGTTATTTTGAGGTAAGCGTATTCATCGCAGGCTTTGAAGTTTATTGAATTATCGTGGCATTTTTCACTGTCCTGGAGTTCCACGTCAACATTATCATTTCATTTAAGTTCAAAGGTAAAACGATCATCCGTGATCAAAGTGACGAACGCTTGACTTGGGGTGGGGAGCAAAATACCACAGTCAACTTGAACTCCGCATATTTGGTAGAGGCATTGAGTGCAGCTTGCGTAGTCATTACTGGTTCATTTACACATAATGACATTCATGAACAAAGCTGATATCTACCATAACTCATTTGAGGCAATCAGTTGCTGTGCTAAGGACATGCGATGCACAGGTTGTTGTTACGTGTCACTAGCCGTCTGATCGTCTTTACATCACCCGTCTGACCCTGTCTGTCTGTCTGTGCTCTGTCAGGACATCCAGCCGCACTCTGTGGTTGTCTCGTGGCAGTCCCGGAACGCCAGCGGAGTGCTCGGCTACCGGATCCTACACCAGCGACTGGGCGCGCCGCCGGCGCCGCCGGCCGCCGGCTCCGAGCACGCGCTGGCTCAGCGCGAGGACACCAGCCGGCCGGTGCTGACGGCGCCGCTGGAGCCGCGGCGGCGCTCCCACCAGCTGGACGGGCTGGCCGCCGACACCGAGTACCGGGTCTGTGTGGTCGGCCTGGGGGACTGGCTGCGCGCGGAGAGCCTGGCGCGGCTCGGCCGGCCGGCCGGAGCGCCGCCCGACGCCGCCAGCCCCGACAGAAAGTGCGTGCAGGTGCGGACCCTGGAGTCGGCGCCGCTCTCGGTGCTTGCCGCTAACCTGGGCCTGATCCTGGGCAGCTCGGTCGGCCTGGGCATGGTGTTCGTGCTTTGCGTGGCTGTGGTGTGCGCCCGGATCAACAAAGACCGCTCGCGTCCGCCGCCCAAGCCGGACGACGTACCGCCGCTGCCGGCCGGCGCGCTGGCGCTCACAGAGAGCTACCCGAGCTACCGGCACTTTGCCGCCTCCAGTGACGAGCTGTTCGAGACGAGGACGTGACCGCGCGCCGCCAGCAGTCGTTAGTGCTGAATGGAGCCGCCGAGGGACCCTAATGGCGGCCCGGTGCTGAGCTGGCCGTGTGCTCCTGTTTGGTGCCGCCCGCGGCGCGATAAGGCCATGGAGAACGAAGCAACAACTCCCGGCCCGGGAAAGGTCACCGGGCCAAGAGCAACAAACAGCGGTGCTTGCCGCTCGGACCGAGCACGTAACTTGGTTAAAGTGGTTTTGTATCGGCGATATCGTTAACAAACTAGGCAAGTGGCTAACGGCTGGCGATCGTCGCTTTTGGAGCAGCTACAGGGATCAGAATGTATGCTCTGATAAATATGTTGTTCAAATGTGTTGGCAGACTCAGTGGTTCGGGATACCGACGGGTGTCAGCGTGGTAAAATCACACAGAGGACATTCGTCAGCCAAGCTGATTGTGTCCCAAACCATGCATTCGGGTGCCAACGTTTCCATGTGTATGTTGGTGTGATGCTTATGTTCGTTGTTTCGATTCACATCGTCATCGTGCTAGCATTGTGCTAAGGTGGTCTTTGAGACAGCCAAGTTATCAGCTGTGAACATGTTTATGAGGTTTATAGCAAGACATTGTGAAAACTTGGTGACGTTGTGATAGCTTAACCAATATGATGTATCGCGGTACTCGCCGTAAATTTGACCTCAGAATGCTGATCCTTGCATGTAATTCGTTCTTATGTTGCACATATTGCTGTTCCTTTTTGATTTCACATCTGGGTTCTTTTACATGCTGTGTTCATACTATTTTTCCTTTTTAAGGTTACTTTTTTATAGCTTTTTGCTGACTAATTGTGTCACATACTTCATGGAGATCTTCATTTTTGGCAACTAGCATTCCAGACTACGTACTGCTGTTCAAAACTTCGTCGTGTTTCGATGTGTCAGCGTTCAACTACGCCCGACCAGATCCTGCAGGGGATCTGATCTTTCGGAGAATCAAATTCCGAGAGATCAGAGATAAGTGACGCTCCAATTGGTCGCTAGTCTCCCTGTGCCGAGTCACTCGACCACCAAAGGGCGCGGCTAGGGGGTCTTGCTGTGCAACACGTCACAGTACGGCGAGTGTCGTATGCGACTGTTGTATACGATGGGATTCGTATGCCACGTTTTGTGAGAGTGATCCGGTGTTTTCAGATCAATACAGAATGCGATGATTGGTGCCCCCATCGGTCACCCCTCCGACAGGTCACCAGGGCTCCATGCGGACGCAGCGGGAGAGTAAATAATGTGGTCACGGTCACGGAACAGACACGATCATAGGCCTTGACGCAATCTCTCAAATCATGTTTGTTCATACTTATAGACTAGACCTCGAAGCTTTCACCAGTATTAACTCAGACACCCAGCTCACCCTCTGTGCCACTGTCCTGTTGGCGTCTTTCCCCGACTCCCTGCGCTTCCGGCCGTGGCGCTGGCCTCATCTCTGCGCGTCCCCTGGGAGCCGATCTCATCACACGCATCTGACCACATCCGTCCGGCAGCCCGCCGACCCCAGGGCGACCTCCGACCGGCCGGCAAATGCCACCATGTGTCACCGCGCTGCCTGATGTCCGACCTTTCTGCCAACGCGTGTGGTGATTACAATCTCGCAATACTGAAACTGAAGGATGATGGACTACGTCATACCTCAATCTCGGCGTCCATCACCCGGTGACACTGTGAAGTGACCGTTTCCAGTTTGACCCCATCACACAGTCCCATGGCCGGTGTGCCGGCCCCGGTCGGCCGATAAATTCCCTCTCCAGTACCGCTCCGGATATGAAGCCCCGGCCCGCAGCGATCCGGCCCGCGCCAATGGTGTGAGTATTTCGGAGCACGAATGCACCGCGCTGTTGCCGAGATAGAGTTATGGTCGCCCATGTGCCTGTGAGCTGCTCGGATGGGTGACGAACGACCTGTGATACCGGGAAGGCGGCGGCGCCTCGGGCGCGGTGGCGTCCCGGCCGGGACCGGCTCCGGCGCCGGCCGGGCCCATCCGTCTGGACTAGATAGAGCAGCTCGCACCACTTTGTCAGCGACTTTGGTCGCCGGCCAGCGCTCATTCGTTATCTGCCCGCGGTTTTACAGGGTTTCGGAATGGGCCCGGCTCACCGTCTGCATGTCGGCGGGGATTTATGAAATATGCCCAGGGCAGTAACGAGTCGGCTGCCCGCGCAAACGACGATCTACGACCGGCGCCATGACCGTCGAGGCCGCTGGGAAGGTACTGGCCACGGCTGTAAAGGTGGCCGGGCACGGCTGGAAAGGATACCGGGCTGCACAGCTGGAAAGGAAACCGGGCACCACTGGACGGGCACTCTGTGTTCGGGCTGAGCTGAGGTGATTGAAATGGTCACGGCGTGGCAGATGGACATTGAAGAAAGATCAGTCAAAATAAGGTAGCAGCTACCTAATTATGCGTATGTACCAACGTTTGTCCCGAGTGCATTTTAATTTCAGCTAAGTATAGAACTTCTATGGTGTGATAAGAACGGAAATTCCTTTAAATGCACTGTGGCGAGAAAGAGGTAGATCGTGAGACTAAAACTTTAGCCGCAACACACTGAACTGTGGATGAACTTCAACCTAACACTGCTTAGCAACTTCTGGACATTTCACTGGCTGGGAACTTCGTTCAGATGAAAAATGAGACTCTCTGACGTCGCGCCGACGAAATGATTTTCTCGACAGCGCTGCTGCGAATTTAAACAGTTCCGTCGGCGTTCGTTTAACGTTGATAACCTGACGGACAGCAGCGTCGATGGGCTATCACGAGCTGCTGTGTCAATGCTGTGTCCCTTGACTTAGTCGGACAATGTTGTTCATCTCCATAACAGTCCTATGGCCCCGGGAAAACATGCAGCTAACGGACGATCCTTCTGGGTTTCACGTTTTAATGCGCATATAATGTCAGCACAACAGTAGAGACGATAAAACAGAAATTGAAAAATAAAACAAGTGCTTGCAACAAATCTAATCCCTCATTTTAGATTAGTAGCATCATATTAACGGAACTGTGGGTAAACGAACCGTGTAGTATTTGTAGTTATAACTTAAAGGCAAGCTCTTTTGAATAAAATAAGGTCAGATGTTGATTAGTTATATTGAATGCACTGCAATTCAAGACAGTTTCGGTGCATTGCTCAGCAAAGGCACTGCCTTCTTTACCTCTCAACACCACCCGGAAACAGCAGCACGTTTTCCACCCATCCCATGGCACTTCCTGCACCCGACGCCGGTAGGCCCTGTGTGTGCTGGCGGCCGACCAATATTCGTTTTTTACCGATAACGAACAGCGACAGGCTGAGACTGATGAGCCATTCTGGCTGAGCGATCACGTGAGAATGGCGAGTGGTTCTGTCACCTCATCGGCGCACACGTCGCACCTTGAGAGACGCGCCTGATGACCTGGCCGGCCGGGGACCTGCCTGGTGACCTGACCGGCTGGGGATCTGTCTGGTGACCTGACCGGCCGGGGACCCGCCTGATGAACTGGCCCGTCTGCCTGGTGATCACCGCACAACACAGCCTTTGTCCACTGCGTTTAAGTCCCGGGGTCAGAGTATTTTCAGGTACTGGATTCAAGAATGGATCGGTGGGATGACCGAGCAGTCCCCAATTGCTCACTGTCGTGTTAGTCTGTCTTCTGTTCTGCGCCATTCCACACTGCTGAGATGGGTGAGTTTTGACACCATGTTAACAGCGCGCTCTGAATGTTCTCACGGCGGCCTGGCAGGCGGTCAGCAGGGCCACGGTCAGCGTCAGCGCCGCCACGGCCGTCATCATCAACGGGAAGCCGTAGGCGTCCACCAGCAGGCCCCCGGCCAGCGGGCCGACCACCGTGCCCAGCGAGTAGGCGCTCCAGAACACGCTCGACACGAACGCGTGAGTGCGCAGGTCGTCATGGAGACCGGCGCGCACCGAGGCCGCCAGCATCAGCTGGAAGCACGGGATGTAGGCGCCGCCAAAGAGCGCCTCCTGTAGCGTCATTCCGAGCCCGAACAGCCACCAGGTGGGCTGCAGGCCGAGGAAGGAGGCCGGCGGGATAAGTAGCTGGCTGGCGGAGACCAGCAGCAGACACAGGGACATCATCGGGTACGGGTTGGTGGTGCGCTCCGCCAGCCGCGCCCACAGGATGCTGGTGAAGACGTAGGAGCCAGTAGCCACGGTAAAGTAGAGGCCGAGTGTCGCCGGTGTGATGCCCAGAGCGGCAACGGCGTACGGTGCCACGCACGACTCGAACGTGAAGAAGTCGAGTGAGTAGCAGAACACGATGAGCAGGCACAGCCAGTTCTCTGGCGAGGCGGCGAACGTGCGGAACATCTTCGTCACGTCCGACGGCGAGTCGTCCGTCTTCTCCACCGCCGGCATGAAGCGCATGTTGACCGCGGCTGTGACGACCATGACGGAGCCGAGGACGTAGAACGGCAGTCCGAAGCCGGCCGCCGCGTACAGGCCTCCGCCGACCGCCGGCGCTACGGAGAGTCCGGCCGACTGGGCGGCCGAGACCAGCGCCACCACCGAGCTGGAGCGCCCCGAGAACTGGTTGCCGATGATGGTGAAGCCGCAGGCCGAGACGGCCGCCGTGCCGGCCGCCTCCACCACCCTGGCTGCGAAGCAGGCGGCGATGAAGCCCGCGCCCCCGGGGATGTGGTAGAACGTGCCGAAGGCGATGGTGGAGACGCCGGCCGTGGCGATGCCGATGTTGTAGAGCCGCGTCACTCCCAGGCGCAGCGCCAGCGGCGCGACCAACGGGTACAGCAGCATCTGGGTGAGCGCGAAGCAGCTGAAGACGCCGCTGATGGTGGTCTGGGAGACGCCTCTGCTGGCAGCCTCCGACGGGAAGAAGGGCACCATGACGGCGATCAGGGAGCCGCTGAGGACGCTGACCACCGCCAGCCCGGCCAGCAGCCGGCGCTGCCGCGGGGAGGACTTGGCCGGGGTCCGCAGAGACCCGGCGGGGTCTGATGGAGCGGAGAACGGCGGAGTGGCGGCCATTGTTCCGTAGTTCGGCGGCTGAGGGTCTCCGTGGAGATGCTGGGGTAGGTCTGGAGTTGATTTTGGGATTTCCGATGCGAGAATCCACGTCATCTTGGTAGAGGATGTGTAGTGTTACTATAAGACAAACATATGCACTTGCTGCTGGCAAATGACAACAACGACTTTCAATTATTCGTTTTCTGCTGCCATTTCATCCTCTTTCATTATCACGAAGAGTAGCGACCATTTTTATCAGATTCGTCTATTTGAAACGGCCATGGCAAAAGCAACGTCGCACTTAGAAACAGGGAAGTATCTTCAATTACGATCAAAAGTGCCTAATCGTTCTGCCACACAAAACACCAAGCTTCTTCGGCCACAGACTTGCCTCACGCTAATCCTACAGCCTTTCTTCCGATCACGACTTCTGTCAGAGATCAAATGGCTTCGTGTTACACCTCGGATCACAACGATATACGGTCACCGGCCGAGTTCAGAAGCGACTGATCTCACTGTCCGTAGACCAGCGGTCACCGCCGCGGCTCAACTAGTTTACACAGATAACACCGCCGATAGCGAGTAAATAAACCGTCACGGCGATTTGACAATAGCTGACGTCACCTGTGTTGAGAGCCGAGAGGACGAAACGGTGACCATCAACCAGATCTACTTGGTCTAAAAATAAACCAGCCGGTATGTCCTGCTGGCTGTCTTTTCGACGGCGAATGGAAAAGGTTCTGTTGGAAATGGTCGGTCATTTAACACTCATGGGCGATCCACGATCGCGACAATCAGTATTTGTTGTCATATACCGGGTGGCCCAAAAAAAACGTTCCCAACTTTGGAGGCCTATATCTCAAATTGGAGTGCAAATAACGAGCCAAAATTTTCATCAAGTTTGCATCACTTCTTTGCGCATTGGCATACTAAATTGTAACACTGTACCATCATTTTCAAGCCAGCAATCTTATGTTGAATCAAGTAAGATGTTTTTGCTTTTTTTGCCGATGTTGAACGGAAGTGATGATTGGCTTGGACGTACTACGTTAGAAAAAGATAGTAAAATAGAACACGTGAATGAAACCAGCACGTATGTTGTTATTTTAAATATTTTTTTATCCCACTTATGTGCCAAATATTCAAATAATGAGCCAAAATGGTGTTAATGGATGCCATTCGTTTCAACGCTAAGTCCTGTTTCGAGCAAAAGGAGTGGCACGGTGCATGGGTTACTGCTCATCGCCCTCCCTTCAAGAAGATCAAACAGTAAATCGACCGAATAAAGAAAAAAGCTAGCCGGAATGTATCACCCTGCGGCCTGAACCATCAATGAGTCTAGCTGTCAGTAGCAGTCATGGCTGCAGGCCGTGGTGCCGAGATGGAAGTGGCCCGTTCACTCACAGTTTTTAGTAAACATCTGAGCAAAAAAGTAATTTTTACATGGCATGCTAGAAACACGAACCGTTTAAAAAGTAATTGACCGAATAACATAAAAATCATACCATTCACGGAAAATATAGGCCGCATTGACTATTGGAAGTTTCAGTGTTGCATCTTTATCACTTTCTGAGAAATATTGATTCAAAGTTGGGAACGTTTTTTTCTGGGCCACCCGGTACATTTTTCAATAGCTCCAAAGGAGGGGTCTTATGTGCTAAACAAAAATAGCAAACATTTATCAGTGTGTCTTAGCTCACGTCTGGCAAAAATAAGATAAGCTAACGGGTGTCTACTAATTAATGAGAAAAAGTTCAGATAGTTAATACGAGCCTTTAATGGTAATAAATAATCTGCATATCTCACACGCTGAAAGACATGTCTGTTGCGAATGTCAATCACGCAAAACGAAAACTTTAGATACCATGGTCAGTCGCCATGAGAACGTTGAGCAAACAACGTTTCTAAGCAATCTTCGCCAATTTTAAGAAAAAATTACCTTTCGACAACGGAAATGGCACTTATGGCTCTCCTAGTGCAAGTTAAAGGTTTTTAGCCAAGTGCCAATAGCATGCTTATGATATTTGAGATAAGAGGAAACGTTCAGCATGCTGGAAAAGGTTTGAAGTGGCTGCAACTCCGCGAGTTTCGCTACAGAAACAGGATCCCTTTCGATGGGGTGCGAAGGGCAAGGTGAGGGGTGTCAATGTGCCTGCTGGTGTGACGCCACTATATTTGTCACTATTACGTCGTAATTTTTGCTGTAGAAAATGTGCAATTGAGTACCGGAGGTGCACACAGGCATGCCTGAGGCCACAAAAGCGCAGCAACGCAGAGAATAACAGCGTTTGCCTCGGCTAATTAGGGGCACGCTGTCAACTGGTGAGAACGCATGGATATGGTAATGGGTGAAGAGAGCTGTTTGACCTACCCAGAAACAGAAATGTCGTCTATTGCCCGTTTGTATGCTCCTGTGAGGGGTGATACAACTGCAACCTGTGGACACGTCTCCTTGCCGGTTTCCAGCTTACTGATGTGGCTAGACCGTCTCTCCGGAAGGGGAGGTACTGCCAGTCACTTGTCCAAAATGAGTTATCATTGGGAGGATGTTCTATAGTGCGAGGGACGGCAAATAGATGCGTTGATTTCTACCTTTTAGGGCAGCAAGGTTAAAAAAGACGAATACTACCCAAATGGCGACTATGCGATCTGATTTCACGTAGTTTTCGTCCATTATCCAATTAAAACCATCACAATGTTGGAGGGGGTCGGCGTACCCATGAAAGATCAAGAAGGTAATCCACCCTGCGTGTCGCAGCTGTGGCCGATTGAATACTTCTGAGGCTTTTTCAATGAAGAAATATATCCAGGGGACAAGACTGTAGCTTTGGACCGACATCTGAAGACGGGAAGGCGGGAATTATCGGTCTCGTTTGACGCGGAGGTGCCGCGACGTTTGATCAAGGGGGTCGGTTGGCGCGTGCGGCGTGACATGAAACATGGTGTGCTCAGTGTGCTGCGCTGAAGGTATTTGATAATCAATAGATGGATTAATAAGCATGCAAATTTTCGACTATGTAAGTTACAAAATACCCAAGATATAAGCCTTTAAACTTTTTCTCATTAATTAGTAGACACCCGTTAGCGATAAGATTGAGAGCAGCATGGGCTTCAGCCACGAAGGCAGGGCTTATTGGCTGGATGGAAAGGGCAACCACAAACCAATGATGAAAAAGTATCATAGGCCAGAGGGGCTAGAAGTTCATCGAAACGACATCAAAATAACACTTAAAACTGAGCATAATACCTGTGTACCTATAATGACAACAGTTCGATCAAGGTAAGCCTGACTGAGACCACCCTTGTATAAACATTTCATTTCATTTCATTTATTTCATTTATTCACCATATCAGCCACGGGACATGCCCATTTACGGCCAAAGTCACAGCACAATAAAAATACATGAACCATACACAGTCTTCATAAAAAATTTTCCCTATTGCTAAAGTAGGTACAAGATAAAATAAGGAATAAATTTAAAAATAAACAAATGCGAGCACTAAGCATGCTAAAATCGTTTCAAGCGCTATGAGAAACAGCACTCTTAACATACCTTAAAATACAAGACCTAACGCGAGATAAAGAATCATGAAATATGTCGACCTCATCACATCGCTGCAAAAACTCATTCATCACCCTGGGAAGCCTACAAAACATGCCCATTTTCACCGTTTCTACTCTTCCGTGGGGCACCGCAAGAAAAGTACGCAGCCGGGTGATGCGGGGCGGGACGGCCAAGCCGAAGTGCGACCGCAAGAAGCTGGAGTCGATATTATTTTTCAAGATGCGTGTCGAGAACATTAAGTCATGTTGAGTTCGCCTTACATTCAGTGGACAGAGAGAAAAGTGAGAAAGCAGGCGGCTATAGTCGAGAGTTTGTGGCGCCCCAGAAACGTGGGTCGACAACCAGATAACAAATTTGTGTTGTACACGCTCTATTCTTTCTGTATGGGACTTCGCCGCCCCACCCCACACCACGCTACAATACTCCAGTATGGACCTCACATTAGCACAATATGCAGCGATCAAAGCCGTTCGGTTAAATTTGACCTGTCGTCCAGACTGAAAAGATCGTATCATGTTTACAATACCCTGATTAGCCGAACGCCTTATAGCATGCTTAACATTTCCTGTTACTAGACATATTTGAAAGCATCTTTGACAATGCGTCTCTGATTTCATAAACTTATAAACTTTCGCGTATTCAAAACTTCTAACAGGCAGCCAAATCGTCGCAAATCGCTGTAACTACCGAACTTTTATGATTATGTCGGGCGGCGCTGTATTCTGTTGCTTTATAACCGCCATAAACCGTTTAGGGTGAATACACCATCCGGCAACAGGGTTATTCCATGAACGCCTGCAGTGACAACGAGCAATGACTGATAACTGACACTTGCATCAGACAATAGATAATAAATCAGTGCTGAGCTAGCGAAAATGAGATATATGCTCTGTATCACGTGCTTCGTGAATAGGGTTGGGACCTATCTGCATGCTCTGTATGTTTTGGTAAAATAAAAAAGCTCAGAATTTTTAATGATTTAATTTAAAATCACTTTGCTAAAAAAATGCCTAGTTAGTTCAGAAATTAATTATTTGTGGCTGAAAACAACTTGCTTCTGATTGGTCGGGCTAATCATGACGTCACATGTAGGTATATAACTAGCCCCGTTTACATAGGAGTTGCCAGATTCACATGCCAGCTCGATCTACTTTCAGGTGTTCGGCCTCCGCCATGTCGACAAATGCTGCGCAGCAAATACAAAATCCAGAAATGTGGTAATGGAGTGCTGGCCACCAAAAAGAAAAAGCCTGCCAAGTTTATGACGCTCTTCATGTTATGTAGTTTTGATAATAAACGACGCATGGGCTTCAAATGAATTGTATGTCGTACATTTGGGCATCATATGAGTTGAATATTGCAAAGTTTTTGCCCAACATTTTAGCATAAGACTAAGTTGTTTCAGAGGTGGAGATCTCGGGGGGGGGGGGTCGGGGTGTCAGGACCCCCCTGAAA